CCCCTAGCACCACACCTGGATGGCCAGGTCCCAGGAGCCTCCTCCCACCGGGGTTCCCTGTCATGGGGCAGCTGCGTCGTCGCTGGGCCAGATCCCCCAAGAGCTGCTCCCATCACCACCGCATCCCCATCTAACAGTCCAGGGGAAAAGCAGGAGAGCCCCGAGCCGAAACACGTACAGGTTTTTGGCGGCTCCGAAGCCCCCGGGGAAGACGGCCGCATCGTGGTTAGCAGCGCTGAGTTTGGCCAGGTCGGTGATGTTGCCGCGGGCGATCCTCGCGGACTCAGTCAGAACATTCCTGGGGAAGAGCAGAGAGAGGCCCCCAGCAGGTTCAGTGTGCGGACAGACGGGAGAACGGGGCAGGAAGGAGCCTCCACGAGACAAGAGGACCTGTCCTCCCGGCTCACAGGCAGTGCGGGTTGCTCCCCAGAAAAGGCGACACAGCGACAGTGACCACAGCGGGTCTGTGCTCGAAACGTCCTCTGGAGCCCTTTCAGATGGGCGCTTCCGAACCACCACGCCTAGTCACCCGGACTCCTGTGTCAGGCAAGGCCACCAGGGAGCATTTGGCGCTGGGAACGGACGGTGATGGAACCGCGGGGGCAGCGTTAAGAAGCAACTCTGAGGGACGAGTGAGGCAGCCCCGGACCGGCCGCAGAGGGAGCTCCTCCCAGCCCCGGCTGCGCGGCCCAGGGTCTGGGTCCTGACTGGGCCGCAGCCCCAGGAGACGGCACTGCGGCTCCTTCCCACCGCCCCGTCTCTCACTGTCTGCACCCGCTGGAGGGCACCTGGGAACCACGGCCCCCAGGGGCCATCGCCCTGCAGTCTGGGCCAGGCCGGAGCGGGGAGGTGGGTCTCAGCAGATGCGAGGCCAGGGCCGCACTCCCCGCAGGAACAGAAATGCTGGTGGGAGCTGCTCACAGATACGTGGGTCCAAATGGGTGGACGAGGTTTGAGACCAAATGAACGCACGGGCATTCGGAGAGAATGAAGGCGCGAGGAGCTCACTCAGGGGGAACCTTCCTCCACTGCTCCAACAGTGCTGGACGGCGAGGGACGTCCTGGGGTCCAGCACAGCGTCAGGACCACTGCTGTCAGGTCCCCTTAAACGTGGACTCGGCTCCCAGCTAAGACGAAGCAACCGCGCGCAGGTTCTCGGGGAGTTTCAACCCGTGCACGTTCAAGGACAACGAGGAGGGGCCCGTACCTGGTTTCGCCCTCAGAAGGCTGCCCCTTGGTGTGGTCAATCACGTGCATCTGAGGGATGTCAGGAGCGAAGATCTGGACCTCGGCCCCCGCACGGCTCAGGTGAACCAGTATCCTGCACAGGAGGGAATCAGACCAGACTCTGACATGTGCCTGGCCCAGCTTTACCTGCCACCGGGTGTTTAAAAACAGTGTTTTAGGTGACTGACAGGTATATACTTCTCACATAGGTTAACAACCTCCTTGCTTTGCAAAAAGTCACGACTGGCTTGCTAACGACCCAAATGCCCTCTATTTGAGTTCGCTGTCACTGAACTGGCCTGTGGAGACCAGCTAGCCGCCCCCAAGCTCCATTTACAAACCAGGCCATAGGGACAGGTGACCCGGCAACTGTCACAGCCTGGATGTCTGCATTCCCAGGCTCCTTCTGGGTGTTCTTCCTCCCATGGGCCAATCCACAATGGCCTCGAGGGGTTGAGGAGGGCTTTTAGTCTCCAAAGTAAGTCCAGCTCCTGGTCTCCCCAACCTTCCCCTCATGGGGGTGGGAGACACCCAGGCAACCCTGGGGGCCGTTACTGATGCCAGCATCTACCAAGGGTTACTCTGCGGCAGGTCCGAGTCCAAACGCTGGCACGAAATCTGTACCTGGCAGTGCTGTCACTACCCACTTCCAGAGAGAGGAGACACGAGACCCCAAGACAGATCACGGCTGTCCCCTGGCAGGGCTGGGACCCCTGGACTGGGGTTCAGCTCCTCGGAACCTCACGGGCACTCGACCTACAACTCCTGGCTCTGCCCGGGAGGTTTCAAGCTGCCGGCTATTCCTCACCGCCTCCTCTCTCCTGCCCCACCCCGCTCAGTCCCCATCAGGAAACTCCTGGCCCTCTCCACCCACCAGCCCAGCACGCTCTAAAGTTCACTCTCTGTCCGGCCACCGCCAGCACCCGCTGGCCACGCCCAGCGGCCACCCCCAGCCACCAGCCTCAGGCTCCTCCGGGGACCAGCGAGGCCCCGCAATTGGGAAGGGTGTGTTCCCCAACCACTACCTAACTCTCCCCTTCAACTAACTCTGAATCTGACAGCCCCTACACGGTCCTGCTCACAGGAACTTTTTAAATAAATCGATCAAAGGACAAACTACTCGGCAACAGCTGACAGGCTACCCCAATGACATCGGTCTACAGCGAGGTCGCTGCACAGCCCTTAAAAATCATGCTGTAAAGACGGAAAAGAGCTCTCTGATTTCCAACTCGCAGGACCGTTTGATCCCAATGTTTACAACACGTGGGTGTGGAAAAACAGCAGAGTAGATGTTAAGTGGTTACCACTGTGTGACAGCATCACAGGTGATACTAAAAAGCTCTTTTTGTGTCTCCCTGTACGTTACGCGCATTGAGTTTAAACGTTGTCCTTTGCGCCTCCCTGAGTCTGGTCCAGCAGTCCTCTCTGCCTTCCTAACCAGCAGGAAGGCTTCTCCGAACGGTTCGGGAAAAGGGGCACCGACCCTCCCGAGGGCGAGCCGCCCAGGGGCTTACGATGAGGCCTCGTGGAGCTCTGTCCCGTCGTAGACCCCGCATCCGGACAGCACCTGCAGGGATGGGGGGCCGGTCACTGGGGTCACGCGGTCCACCGGGCGGGCCGACCGCCTCCCGCAGGGGGAGGGGCCGACCTGGAGGGGAGGGAGGTCAGCGCGAGGGAGGCGGTGGGGGGCGGAGGGGCCGCCCGCGGGCACGGGGAGGGTGGGAAGGCCGACCTCGGCGCCCCGCCCCTCCTCCCCACGCCCCGCCCGTCCGCTCACCACTGCGACCCTGGTCACAGGGCGCGGCGCGGAGGCGTGGAAGGCCGCGCGCGGGGACTGCGCCGGTCCGCCGAACGGCAGCGCACGCAGGCCGGGGCGCGGCGCGAAGGCGGCGGTCACCGCTAGCCTGGACGCCACCAGAGCCCGGAGGGCCGCCATCCTGCGCGAGGACATCGGGGTCGTCGCAGGGTCACGGTGAGCGGGGCCGCGCCTGCGCACTGCCGCCGCCCTGCCCGCGAGCGCGCCGGTGAGCGGGGCCGCGCCTGCGCAGTCGCCCGTGGCTCGCGCTCAACCCGGCAAGGGCTCCTGGCTCCGCAGCGGGTCCCCGCGGCTTTGGGCACCGCCCCCGTCCCGCCCCGCGGCGGCGTCGCCGGGAGGCGCGCAGGGTCGCGGTTGCCGAGGAGCGCTGTGCTGAGATACGGGCTCTGGAGTTAACTTGTGTCGTCATGAGGCCTCAACGTGACTCCGCGACACCGAGTGGCCGGTGCCCAAGTGTCCAGTTCTCATCTGCGCCCCGCTTTCCCGGCCGCTGAGTCCGGGCCGGAGTGAGGCCCTCCCGCTGCAGCAGCCCGGCGCCCCTCCCCCTGCTGCTCTTCGCCTTTCTATTGACGTGGGTCCTTTTGTAACCCATCTGGTTGTGCAGAGGGAAGGCCAGGTATGAGGCCAGGTCTTTGCAGAGAAAGGTTTATCACAGGAGGGCCAAGCAAGAACGGGCGTAGAGGTGCGGTGCGAAGCTCAGATTTGTGTCCCCGGGGGCTGCTGAGGGGGTATTTATCCGGAAGTAGGGAGCAAGAAGGGGAGGGGGGCTCGGATATGATTGGTGGAAAGTGAGTGTAAGTTTCAGGGTAAGGATCAAGAGCTCTCCTGCGCAGGCGCTGGGGCTGCTAGTTACGCCTCTGACCGGTCGCAGGTGCAAATTGGCGGTGCGGGGTGTAACATGCAGTGGGGTTTTGGCCCGCGACGTCTAAAGGTCACTATTGCAGTCCCTCGTTCTAGTCCTTCGGTGTGCCTGCGCAGCGCTCGGTCGGCGGGGCTGTCAGCAAGTTTGTTCCCCTGGTCCTCTGCAGAAGGAGCTTGGTGTTCTCTATGTCATTTTGTTTCTACCTTGTAGAAACTTGTAGCCTTGTAACTCACAGGTGGTGATTTCAGTCCATGCCTGTCTTTGGATCATTCCTCAGTCTTGAGGGACGAGGGGTGACCACCGCTCTAGCCGCTTTCTGCTGCTAAGGGCGAAGGCCCAGCAGGGGCTTGAGGAATGAAACAGCTTGACGTCTAGCTGTACACATTCTAGGGTATTCAGACTGGACTGTTGGAGGTGTTGGTATGCCCCCAATTCAGGGTTGACACGACAGAGGAATAATCTGGTGGCCTGCAGTCTTTGAGAGACAAACTTGACATGAAAGTTAAGAATTATAGGCCCAACAGAAGAATCAGTAGCGCTGTGACTGAAGGAAGTGTCAGTGGATGGAGTAAACGGCCGACTTACCGAGGAGAAAGCCCTATATAGAATCCATGCCTCCGGCGCGCCATTACCAACGCTGTGTCACCAGCTGGCCTGTTGCTGTTATTTCCTTTACACTGGGTGGTATGTGGTATTTGTCCACATGCACCAGCAGGTGTTGCAGCCACACAGGCGCTGCCTTGTTCTGCCAGGGGGCAACCGAAGGCTGTTCTGTTATCCATTGCTGCAGTGGCTATGGAACTCACCATGATCTTTGGTCAGTCTAACTGGAGGCTGGCGTTTTGGCCAGTTCCTCCACTGAGGCAGGTAGATTTTGGAGGGTGGCCTCGTGATAGGTACCCCCCTCCCCGTGGGGCTGCTCATCCTGGTGCTAAGCCTGTGCCCGTGATTATCAAGTCTGAGGCCGCCTTCCTTTTGTCTGCTCTCCTGGGGTGGACACGTTACCGACCCTCTTGAGTCAGGCACCAGTAAGTGTCCTTCTGCCCAGTATCGCTCGCGCCAGTAGACAGAGACCAAGTTCAGTTGAGAAGCAAAGGAAAGCTTTATTCTTTGACCGAAGAATAGAGAGATGGGAGCTTGCTCTACAGCACAGGGCCTCCCCTGAAAGGCCCAGGGGTGGTGCTGCTTTATAGGGTTCTGGCAGAGGGAGGGGTGGAGTCATTGTGGGTCAGGCGGGTGCAGCACTTCTGCACACGGCTCACCCAGTCTGGCTGTCACGCAGAGCCGCTTTGCACTGGGAACGCTAATCCGACATGTTAGGTGGGAAGCCTCTGCACACGGCCCCCTACAGGCAAGTAAAACTAGAACAAACACAGAAGAGGTTGGACCGTATCCCCTGGATTCCATCTTATTTTTCCCGGGACCCCAGTGGGCTTTGCTGGGGACATTTCCTTTAGGTTGTGGCTCTCTGGGCCCCACAGAGGAACACATCCTCCTGGCGTCCACATCGTCATCCACGTGTGTTTCTGCAGAGGCCAACGGGCTGGGGCCGAAGGTGCGTTAGTGGCACGTGAGTGACGTGAGAGTGGGGCCAGCTCGCAGGGTCTGGTGGGCTGCAGGCCTCTTTGTTGGGGGCCTATTACACCAACTCTTATTTTGGTGTGCTTGAACCCATTTTTGCCATTTGATGGGCTCTTGGTAGCCAGTGTGTTCTAAGGCCCTCCAGGCAAGTTGGGAGTATCCTTGGAAGGCTAGACCATCTTTGGTTTGGGTCACTTCCTCTGCTGACTCATTTTGGACTCCTCCACAGAATAGTTACAAGTTGGAAGGTTATAGTTTTCAGTGGCTCCCACTTGCTAGGGTGTCCTGGCTTGTGGATGAACGGTGGTCCGAGCTCTGTAGGGAGGCATTTAAGTACATCGTTAAGTGAACTGTAGAGGGTGCGAGGGGAGGTCAAATTACACGAGAACTTTGCTTCAGGAGTGGGTATTAGGGTAGCCTCTAGAGGAAGGTCAAGGTTATATTATGTAGTCCTCCTTTAACCATTAGTGGGGGAGCCTGGGAGAGGGCTGGCAGGGCTGAGTGTATCTTTCCCCAGCTGGGGGTTAGGATGACAGACCCAACACTGCCTTTCACCCCCTGCTGCAGTGGCTTTTGAGAGGTGAGTCAGAGTGTTTGGGTCCCAAGCTCGGTGTGTGACAACCCCTGGCAGGAAGATGGGAGGAGGAGAAAAACAGGGTCCATCCCAGTTCCTTTCAGGACCACGGGGATAGTTTACAGATGAGTTATTTGCATCTGAAAATACACGACTATCAATGTATTTATTTTCTGCCTTAATACCCAAGAAGAGTAGAGGCTCTGATAGACGTCATTATGTTTACAAAGGAAATGACTCCATCCCAAGATAGCACATGAGTTTCATAAGCAGATAGAAGAGCACACAGCCCCACCAGACTAGCAAGAACCTGCCCGCCATCCACCCTAATAATGGTCCAATGACTCGTGGCCGCGCCTCTGGTGACCTGCAGGCTGGGCCCTGTGTCCTGACCCTGGAAGCTGTAGCTACCAAGGGACCAGGGGCCTGGCTGTGGCCTAGGCTGCCCTCACAGTGACCCTGCCCGAGGGGCATTGCAGGATGGAGTCTTCCTCTCAGAGCTGGCCAGCAGGTCTGATGGTCTCCCTGGAAAGCCTGTCCAGGCCCAGCCCCAGCCCCAGCCCCAGCCCCTCTCCAAGGTCAGAGTCAAGCAGATGTTCCCTGCCGGACCCTGTGCAGGGACGATGGGGCTGGCAGCCTAGGCTGGGCCGCGAGGGCGAACCACCTGCCCCGCTCACCTGTTCCCCGGCGCAGAGGTGCCAGCAGGCAGGTGGCCCTGACCCCCCAGCACGACAATCACACCAGGATACATTACAAACATTTCAAATTCAGACGCAATACCTACGTTGTAGAGATACGCTTTATCAAAGCTTTATATTAAAAACATAAAAACTCATACAAAGTTTGAGTCTATACACGTGAGCCCATTCACCTCTCCGCAAGGTGCTTTCGACGGCAGACGCTCCTGGGCCCTGGGTGCCAAGCCCGCGCCTGCCAGGGACCCGTCAGCTCACGCACTGACCCCGTGGCCACGTTTGGTTCCTGCAGAAGAGCGAGTCCTGGCGGCAGTGCCCTTCCGTCCCGGCTGCCCCCCGCGGTGGAGGTCCCACCTTGCCCAACGTCCCAGCCGAAGCCAGCAGGGCTGCAGGCGGCCAGCTCTAGGCCAGCGGCCCGTCTCCATCCCCAGGTCCTCTCCTGAGCAGGTGCAGGCTGTTGTCATCGCCCTCGGGTGCATCTGCTTCCTGCTCGCTGCCCGGCGGTTCAGAGGGCCGCTTCAGGCCCCGCTGCTTAGAGACGGCCAACGCGTACTGCAGACTGTAGCGGTTCCAGTCACAGCTGCCGAGGGCACACGGGACTCACATTAGTAAGACCGACGCTGGGGCCTTCTGTCTCCAGATCAGACAACACAGAGAGCGGCCCTGGCGTGGAACCAACCGGAACCTGCTGGTGACAGTGGAAGCCCCACCCTGCCCATCAGCCACTCCCGAGACACGTACAGTTTGGAGACGTCGTCCCAGTGGCGCTGGATGCTCTTCTGAAGGAACTGAACTGCCGGCAGCAGTGTCCCCACTCTGGAAAGGACACGTCCCTCAGCGTGGGCGGCCACCACGAGGCCACCCGGACCTGCTCCACGCTGTACGCTAGTAGAGCCTCCCCGGCCTGTGCACCCACACAGACAGCTGACCCAGCGACAGGTGGCCAAGGGAGCGGCGGGCCGTACCTGCACTTGAGCTTCTGTCCGTGGGCCATAAGCAGTTTCTGAGTCCATATGAGGTAGAATTCGAGATGGCGAGACTCTTCGAAGGATGAAGCTAAAAATTCCAGCGCCTTCTCCACGTACAAGTCAGGCAGGGAGGAGCTGATGACCTCAACTGGAAGAGAAGGAGGAAGTCCCACTCAGCCCGCAAAGAACCTGGCAGGAGAGACGCGCTCACAGCTCTGCATGTGCAGAGACCCGGCCGCCGCGTGTGGCCGCAGGGCCCCCTCGGCCCCGCGGGCCTCCCCAGCCCTGGCCCGGGCTCACTCTCGTCCCAGGGCACCGACTCCAGGGCCTCCTGCAGCAGCTTCCTCTCGTTGAGCCGGAAGGCCATGAGGATGGCCCTGGTGAAGTCCCGCTGGCACAGCGCCGCCCGGATCTGCACAGGCGTGACGCTGGTGTCCAGCTCGAACGGGTCGAAGAGCATCCGGGCGTCCAGGGAGTAGATGAGGAGCCCCTCGGTGGTGGTGGCCGCCCAGCAGCGCCCTGGGAAATCAAGCAGACTTAACAGAGGCTTCCTGAATGTTTATTTCCGCTTTCCCCCATTTTTTGAAGAACAGGTACTGAATACGTCCCTGGGGTCCTGAGTGCAACAAGGGAGAGGAAGCCTGGGGGACGCCGGCCCCTTGGGAAGGAGCACCCTGTGAGGATCAGCCCGCTGCAGCCCCGTCCTGCTCCCTCCCCCACCAGACACTCCTGGGTCGGCCCGACAGGCACACGGACAGGCGCTCAGGGCAGGTGCCCACCTCCCCGCTTGGAAGCTGGGCGTGTCTGAAGCCACAGCTTCCATGGCCATCCGCCAGCGGGGACAGAGATGGCCACGTCTTACCCCCCGGAGGTTGGCGGTGCCCAGAGCCGGCCAGAGGCTCCGTGCTGCCCTCGCCCCGGGAGGGGGCTGCCAGGCCCACCGCGCACACCGCAGGCCCGGAAGGGACCAAGCCCACCCCTCCCACATCAATGACCTGACACCCAGGGCGCACCGGTGGGAGAGAAGCGGAGCGAAGTCACCCTGATCTCAGGTTTGAAGTGCCGGGAGCTCATGTCACCTGGGAACAGAGGCACCGCCTGTCACAGGGCAGCACATCCCTCACCCCTCGCCCCACGAAGGGAGGCCCGCCCTGCAGAGCCAGCAGGGGCAGCAGCCCCGTGTCGGGGCCTCAGGTGCCTCTTCACGGCCGCTGCGGGCCTCCCCGGACGAGCCCTCAGGGATGGCGCTCTCTGGGCTCCGGCCTAGCCAGCAGCCGGCTTGTCCGTTCCGGAGAAAAGCCCTGCCCAGCCCAGGCTGCGAGGCAGGTGGTTCCAGCCCCTCAGGGCCCTCAGGCCGGGGAGGCTGCCAGCCCGACACTGGGCTTGCCCTGAAACCCACATGGGGACAGGCACAAGGCACAGGGCTGTGCACCGGCCAGATGCCCAGCCACTCGCAGGGGGACCCCACGCCCTGGCCACCAGCGCCAGAGTTCCTGGACGTCAATCGCTGCAGCCCCGACAAGAGCAACACCTCCCGCCATCCCCCAGGAAAAGCAAGTGGTGAGCAGGGCGGCCTGCTGTGCCCTGGCCAGGGGGACACAAGAGGACCCTCTGCTCACCCTTCTTTACGCCCGGCAACGGTATCGGGACCCCGCCCTCCTCCATGGCGTCTTGGTCGATGAGCGCCAGGTTGCCAAACTCTGTCATTTTCCTTCGGTTCAAAAATTCCTAAAGGGCGAAACCCGGACATCTCACTGCGGGAGGTGCAGGGAGGGTGCGCTCGTCTGTCCCAGTTCCCTCCTGTGCCACCAACACAGGCTGGGGGGCGGCCAGCCCTGCCTGGAACCCCACGGGGCACACGGAGCCCGAGACAGGACAGGGCGTCGCCTCCCCTGGGCTCCCGCAGCCAGCCCCATGGTGGGTGGATTCTCTAACTCGACAGCCGAACGAAGGGCGCGCGTGAACCTGCGAGGGATCCGCACGTGGGGTGCCGTCTGCTGCCACCTGCCACAGCCCGTCCTGCTGCACGTCCCCTTGGACATGACGAGGACAGCCCACCCCGGAACACCCAGGACGGGGCGGGCTTACAGCCGCACGCAGAAGCCCCTCGCCCGGCAGAGGAGCCAGAGCAGGTGAACCCCGGCAAGCACACCTGTCCAGAGGCACCCCCCTCAGGTCCCCGTGGAGCCGGGGCGTGAGCAGGGCCATGGGCAAGGCCGGGCAGCCCCGGGCGTTCGCAGCAGGGACCACACAGGGGTCCCGTGCAGCCCCCGGGCCCTGCTCTGCGGCCTTGCAGCGCTCGCTCACCTCCATGGCGTCCAGAGAGAGGTTGCAGGAGATCTCGAACTTCTTCCTGAGAATCTGCTCCTTGACGTGATAGATGCACACAAACTTGGACATCCCTCCCGCCAGGATGCTCTGGCCGTCCGCAGAGTAGCACAGAGCGGTGAAGGCCCTGCAGAGGGGACGCGGCCTCAGCTGCCGCCCGGAAGGCCAAACAGCACCCTCCCCAGCATCCTCCAGGGCTCTGGCCTAAACCCCGCAGGGTCAGAACCTTGGCCCAGTCACCAGGCTCCTTCTGGGCAGCACGGCCCCCGGAGGAGGGGCAACGCTGCAGCTCCTGAGAGGCAGGGCGGCTCCCAGAAGGGCCGCGGGGAGGGGCCCGCCTGCCCCGCTCACAGGGGCGTGTACTCAGGCCCGCAGGACCAGAAACCTGGCGCTCACTGCCCTGCTGGCTCACAGGACTCGAGCCGGTGACCTTGGATTGGGCAGAGGATTCTTAGATACGACACCGAGAGCACAAGTGACAAAGGAAAAAATATATAAGTGGGCCTTCGTCACAATTAAAAACGTGCTTCAAACAACACCTTCGAGAAAGTGGAGACGAGCCTCGGGAGGAAGAAGACACTGCGAAGTGTGTATCTGATGGGGTCTCGGGTCTCGGGTCGGGTCCACAAAGCGCTCTCACAACTCAGGAACACAGACGGCCGTTAGAACAGGCAGAGGCGCCGGAGAGAAGGTTCTCAGAGCCCACACGCACATGTCCGTCGGCACGTGAAAAGGTGCCAAGAACATCACTGCTCAGGGACGTGCAAACCTAAACTATGAGGCACCAGCTCACACCCACCAGAACAGCGGGGATTTTTAAGAACAGGCAGGAAGGAGCATTGCCAATGATGTGGGCACAGCGGAAGCCCCTGCCCTGGGGGGATGTAAACTGTGCAGGCTCCTTGCCAACAGTCGGGGCGGGGGCGTCCTCAAAAAGTGAAACAGAGTCACTAGGGGGCCTGGCAATGACACTGGCAGGGATGCACCTGAGACAACTGAAAACAGGCCACAGGTTCTGGTCCTCGGGGTGGGAGGATGCGGAGCCTGTTCATCCACACGGACCCCGCCAACACCCTGCTCCCTCTGGGGGGCCTCCGCTGAGGAGCTCCTGGGCTCCGGGACAGCCCCACCGAGCACTCACTTCCCCTTGGCTGAGTGCTTGGCAGTGATCTTGTCCAGCTCCTTCCTGCCCGTCTTGAGGTCGTGCCTGCCCTCGATGGAGCCCGTCTGCACCGCGTTTTCGGGATCCCAAAAGGTGATCTGCGAGTTCAGCGTGGCCACAGCCAGCTCGGCACCGTCAGGGCGAAAGGTCACGGCCAGAGCTGAGAAGAGGCGCGGAATTAGGGCCGAGGAAGACCCTGGGCTCCGGCCGATGGGCCACACTGAGCCGCCCTCGTCCCGGCACCCTGAGGGCCCGGGGGCCGCAGGACACGCACAAGGCATAACCGAGCAGGGGCGGCCCAGTGGAGGGCTCTGGGCGGGAGGCGTCACGTGGAGGTCATGGGCGGGCCGGAGACGGACTAGCTGGAGGTGGGGGTGGTACAGAGGCCCCCGGAAGACGCAGGGAGCCAGTGGCTAAAAGCCTGAATCAGAGCCGGGTCGGGTGGCAGGAAGCAGAGACCATCACAGAGACCACGAGCCGCGGGGCCAACGACCGGGTTCCGTGAGGGCCAGACACAGGCTGCGCAGCCTCGCTGTGACCCATCAGCTCTGCAGCCCGGCCGGCTGCGCACCAGGACGCTTTGCCCCCGAGCGCAGGCGGTGGGGCTCCAGGACAGGGCCTCAGGCCCAGGAAGCTGCTACAGCAGGGCCCCCGGCTTGCTCCCCTGGGGGAGCCCGACGCGAAGTGACAAAACCAGGCCGCCAACCCTAACAGCCCACGGCGCTCGGAGCCCTGGGTTTATCCAATCACGCGCCCGAGACTGGGCCTTCCCCCCGGTGCCCGGCAGCCGCTTACCATCGGACGTGAGGGCCAGCGTCTCTGTGGTCCTCCAGCTGTCCGCCATGTCCCACAGACGCACCGTCCTGTCCCAGGAGGCGCTGGCCAAGACCGACTTCGTTGGGTTAAAACACAGACCACTGATGGGCCCCTCATGGCCGGACAAAACCTACGGCCGTTCAGCAAAGAGCTCTGAGGACGAGAGACGCCCAGCGGGCCGACCCGGGGTGCAGAGGCCATGGCCGCTGGGCTGCGGTGTGGGCCAGGAAGGGGAGCCCGCCCAGGAAAACGCGTGTAAACGGTGCTGCCCGTGCCCGGGATGTGACTCTGTCCCCCACTCCTCTCAGGTCAGTCAGGCCTCCTCCCCACACCCCAGCCCCCAGCCAAGAGCACAGCTCCTGGACTCGCAGCCCTTACGTCGAGGAGCCTGCCCGTCTGCATGGACCAGATGAGGATCTCAAAAGAGTCCTGAGCCCCAGCAGAGACGATGTCCCCGCTCGAGTTCACGGCCACACAGGAGAACTGGGTGGGGCGCGGGGACGTGAAGGTGCGGAAGTTGCGGTACCTGCGGGAGGACAGCCCGGTCGGGACGGTCCCGGGGAACCACGAGCTCTCGTGGGCCTCACCCTGTGTCTGACCGATGAGCCCAGAACCCTCAGCCTCGCTCTCACAGCCCAGCACATGGGGAGAGGCTGCGGGGCAGGCCTCCCCGTAGGAAGGTCACCTGTGAAGGTCAAAGGCGCGCACGGTCCCGTCCATGGAAGAGGTCACAACGACGTAGCCAGTGGTGGTGAAGGTCACGCCGGTGACCCCACTCGAGTGCTCCGTGAAAGTGATGAAGCAGAAGCCGCTGAGGGTGTTCCACACCTTGACCTGTGGCAGGTAGCGCCATGGCTCAGGACACCCCACGGGGGTGCCCCTGCGAGCGAGGACTGGGGCGCTGCGGGGGGCATCCTCCCACATCTGAGAGCGGCTGCTGGCACCACGGACCCCTTAGACGTGCCCAGAAAACAGAGCCAAAAAGGGGGAAACAGACACCCAAAGCCTCTCCACTCAGACCGGGCAAGTCTGCAAACGGCTTCTCAGGAAGCCAGATGAGGCGGGGTGGGCTCTGGAGCTCCAGGCTGAACCCCACGTCAGGGCCTGGCCACGTTGCTGCACCCCACCTCAGCCAGGCCAGCAGAACGGGGACAGGACCCCTCGGGCTCACTCTCGCCACCCCCGCGGCCCACCTTGCTGTCGTCCCCGCCGGTCACAATGTACTGCCCGTCGGGGGAGTAGGCCAGGGACACCATGCTATTGAAGTGGCCCTGCTGCTTGAGCACGTAGGACTCGCTCTGCCACTCCCACACCAGCAGCTGGCCCAGGCCTGCGGGGCACACGGGGACTGCTCGTGACACCGCTCGCCCGTCTCGGCCTGAGGCAGGTGCCGTCAGCCTCCGCGTGAACGAGGGGCCCCAGCACGGAGACGCCAACCTCCCGCGTCACCCGCCAGAGGCCAAGGCGACAGGCCAGGTGCTGCCGAGGGAGGCCAGAATCCAGGCGGCAACGGGACTCAGGGCTCAGAGGAGCCTTTGTGCAGGAAGCTTCAGTGGCTGCTCCTTCGTAGGGAGCCACCTGGCTGCTGGCCTGGCGCGGCGCCTTGGGGGGAGGCGGGATGGCCGGCAGTCTTCCCGGAGGAAGAGTCCCGCTCCTGTTCTCACAAACCCTGGTACCAACCTGAGCACCCGAAGGCGATCCAGTCCCCAGAGCCATTGATGGCGATGGACGAGACCCTCTGATCCGAGACACTGCGGAGAAACACGGGGCTCAGTCAGCACAGCAAGGGCCCCCATCCCTTCCCCAGGGTAGCCGTGCGAGTGAGGACAGGGCCAGGTCTCCCCGCTAGCAGCACCCACTTCCTCCCCACCCGTTTACTAGACACAGACGATTCACTTCACTGAGCGCATCAGAAAACCCAGAGTTTTCTCGCCCCACGTTCAAAAGCTCGAAGCTGCGTGACTTTGGGAAACCAGTGCTTTTAGTTTTTTCAACGTTCCAGAGATGCAGGAGAAGAAAAATGAGAACAGGAAATAAAAACAATGGGATCTACACGTGGAACCAAAGCTCCCTCTGACTGGGGGGTGGATGGGGCCGAGGGGACTGCACATCTGAGATGGGGGCAGGGCAGCAGCGCCCCCAATCTCTCTAATCCAGGAGAGAGGAAGGCACAAGTGTCCTGGGAAGCCATCCGTGCGGCTGGCAGCCACTCCACGGCCCTCGGTCCAGACGGGCACAGCACGGCTTCCACCTTCCCCCACTGCCCGCTGGTGGACTGAGAGCGTGCGCGCACACACACACAGACACAGACACACACACACAGACACACGCATGCACACGCACGCATGCACACACGCATGCACACACGTGACCACACAGAGCAGAATCGCAGACCTCAGGGAGTGGATGAGGTTGAACTCGGGGAGCTCGTGAAGGTGGAAGATTCCGGAAGCAAAACCAGTGACCAAGAGGTGGACCTTCTTGTGATATGCTGCAGCTGTCAGATGGTTGAAATCTCCTTCTTTATTGAAGAAGTACCTAGCAGGCAGGGACACGAGAACTGTGGGAAGAGGACCAGAGAGCCCGGCTGGTCTCACAGCCCCACCCCGACCCTCAGGGCGTGCAGAGGGCAGCCTGACGGCAATGCCCTCATCCTGAGAATGACCTACTACGTCCTCACACTCGCAGCTCTGCGCTCCCAGCTCCTGACCCTTGCTCTGCCTGGGACCGCACTTCCCCAGGTACCGCCGACTCCTCACCCGCCCACCCCCGCCTGGGACCCCGGGGCAGGAATCACAACGCGGCCCCAGAGGGCGCAAGGCCCACCCCGTGCAGGCGGGAGACCTACTTGGCCGCCCGCGAGTACTTCACTTTCCCCTGCTGCTCCTCGGCAGCCGGCGTGGCCTTCCCGTGGACGGTGGCCTCCCTCTCCGCCCCGTCCTCCCTCTGCAGCAGGTCCGCCTTCCAGCCCGTGGGGGCTTTCAGCCTCAGGCCCTCAGGGGGGGTGTCACACTGCCACACGCACAGGGCGCCGTCCTGGCTGAGTGTGTACAGCTGCGGAGGGAGACGCGAGAACCTGGGTCACCCTGACCCCCAGCCCACGGCGGCCCAGGCCGCACAGACACCTCCCAAGCCTGCCCCGGCTACCGCGGCCCCAGCCTCCCCAGGGAACCGGGAGCAGCCTCAGGGGAGGGCCCAGCGCCCACTCGAGGCTGTGACCGGGGACGTACGTCCAGGCTGCTGGACTCGAAGAAGCAGCCCACGATGGCGTCCTTGTGTCCCCCCAGCGCGTAGTAGATGAGGTTGTCCCACCGCTCGGCCCCAAACACCCACGTGGACATGTCTTTGCTCCCGACCGCAAAGCACCTGGGGGACAGGGGAGTCGCAGCTCAGCCTCGGGCTTGCAGGTGTCAGCCTCCCCGTGGGGTCCCCGGGCACAGGGGAGACGCCCAAGGCTCCAGGCGGGGACAGCTCTGGTGTGCTGCATCCACCTGTGCTTCTCCCGGGACCAGGAGCCTCACTGCACGTGTGTCACTGTCCCTCCGAACAAAGCAGTCTCCCGGCGGGGGGCAGCCCAGGGGAGCCTGAGAACCGACCACTGAGCCCGTGGGGGGCTGCCTGGGGACCCTGTTCTTCATGCCTCCCTGACCGGCCCTCGATCCCAGGACCCGCGGAAGGGCAGGAAGGCTTGGCTATGGGGCGCCCAGTCCTCCCCGCAGACCCACCCCCGAGGAGCCCACCCGCGTCTCCTGCGGAAGCCCTGCGCGCCTGGGGGCTGCGTGCCCCGCACCATGGCCAACCACGTGAGAACAGCCCGCCTGGTGTATGAAGTGGCAGCCGCCACCAGCCTCCCCTCCCACTCCCGGCGCCCAGAACCCAGGGCAGCGGAGACACAGCCAGCCCCTCTCAGGGACAGTGGGGCCAGTCTGGCCCGGCAGCCAGGCTGGGCGATGCCCGCCAGCTCTCCTCCTGCCCACAGCTGCCCCGAAAGCTGGGCCACCGCATGCTGGCTTATCGCGGTCCTCATCCAGGGCCGCGCTCTGCTCTGGTTTCCGGTGACAAGGGCCAGACAGACCTGACTCAGACCCAGGAGCCAGGCCTGTGCCCCGTGCCACACGAGGCTCGTGAGAGACCATTGGAAAACAAGACGGGGATGCGACAAGTCACCCCGAGTTCCCCAACAAGGTGCTGTTTACATGTTCCCCTCGGGCCCCTCCTATGCCCAGCCCCACCCCGACCAGGCCTCACCGGGAGTCGTCTGTCCAGTCAATGCACGTGGTCTCGTCGTACGGCCCGAAGTAGGTTTTGTCCAGAACAAACGCGTTGAATTCCCGCTTCCTCCCAGGGGCGTGGTACATCTGAGCAAGGTTGCCTTTGGTGACAACAAATTTCCTGCCGCAGAAATGGGCGCCATCGACATCCAACGCCGGTGAGGGCCCCGAGCCCAGCTCAGAGCTCCGGACAGGGCCGCTCTCCTGCTCCGAGGCCAGCCCTAACCCTGCCTCTCACGGGCCCCGAGTCCCCCCTTCTCCGGGCAGACAGAGTCAAGGAAGCAGTGGACAGACCCCGGGCCCTGCCACACCTCTGCCCCGGAGCGGAGGCCCCTCAGGTTCTCCCGCCGGCCCAGGGGGTGGTCACCAAGGCCAGACCAAGCTCAGACAGCCCCGAGTGGAACCAAACGCAAGACACAGACAGGCCCTGTGACAGGACCCGGGCGCGGCCCCTGCCCAGGACGCCTTCTCCGGGGTCGCTGAGGGTGTACATGGGGTAGCCGCCCCTTCCACGGCACAGCCGGCCAGCCTGGGCCTCAGCAGCCGGGAACAGTCCCCCTCCCCACAGCCCTGGAGTCCAGGGCAGGCCCAGGACTCGCCATGTGCTCCTCCCAGCGGGGTCAAGGCCGCGGGTCAGTGCCACTCAGCACCAGGGCTCCTCCATGACCCGGTGTCTGGGGGCACAGCTTCCCTGGAGACGGTTCTGGACGAGAACCTACAGAACCTGCCACTCGAGGTGTGAGCACCAGCCCCGGGGGAGGAGAGGAGGGGCCTGTGCAGCCCGGATCCAGAGGGGGACCCAGAGGGGCACGGGCTCGGGGACTGTCTGTGGCCGCTGCAGTGATGTCCGAGCCCACCAGGCGCGAGGCAGCCTGCAGCTCGACAGCTCCCGCCCCGCCCGCAGGTGTGTACCTGCCATCAGGGGAGAAGGAGACGCTGTGCACAGCGCCCTTGAAGTGGAAGTGGTGCAGCACGGCCCTGCAGACCAGGCTGGTGAGCAGCGCGTCGCCCCCTGTGGGAAGGGAGAGCAGAGGGAGGCCCCGCACGTCGCATGCAGGCATCAGGTCTTGAGGCCCAGTCCCGCGGTGCCGGCGGCACACGGCCAGGGAGGACACCCCGCATGCCCACCCGAGGCCCACCGGGGCCCCAGACACGGAAGCAGCCGAGGGGACCATGCGGGCCTGGACCCCCAGGGGTCTTAGTGTCGGCCTCGGGTCAGCTGGACACCCGGCCCGCAGCCACCACCCCATGCCGTCGCCGCCTGTCGGCCGAGGGCGGTTACCTTCATCGACAATGATGGCAAGGCGGCCGTCCGGGGACAGCCCCACACACTTGATGTTGTACCGAGTGGCCAGGGGCAGAGTGTCGGACTTGTTGCTGGGAAACAAGAAACAGAGCTGAGCTGCTGCTCTTGTGCCGTCAGGCGGGGGTGGGGGGCCGGGCCAGCCCGGACCAGCAGCGCCCCCCTGCACCCGTCCCCCCGCCCCTCCAGGCCTGCCAGAGCCCCGGACTCCTCAACCGCCCCTCCCTCGAGAGGGAGGAATAGTAAGACAACGTCCTGGAGAAAATTTCGCTAAGCATGTAAAAACCTTAAAAGTGGGTTTCGGACGTGTCAATTTTGCTTCCAGGACCTCATCCTGAGAGGACCCTGGGAACATAGAGTCAGGAAACCAGAAACAAGCCAGCTGTCCAACGGGAGGGTGAGCTCAGGGACAGCATGCCCTGCCCGATAAAGCTTTTTGCAAAAACACAGAAAAATGGAGAGCTAAGTAAAAGTAAACAACCACTGGATTACATTCTAATTTTGTTCTTTATTATATAGTGCCACGTGGTCATTCCTCTAGGTAGCACCGTCACTACCCACACCAGTGATGACCCCGCCAACAGCTGGCCCTGCACTTCAGGAAACAACTCGCAAGCAAGTACTACGGCCCCATCTTACAGACTCGGAAACGGAGGCCTGCAGAGACCCAGGCAGCCTCTGCAAGAGGAGGGTCTCCCCCAGGCCACACATGTCTGCAAAGGGGTGACAGCCTCCCCCCAAGAAGACAGAAATGGAGCCACATACTTGCTCAGCAGGAGACAGAGTGAACCTGAGCACACAGAGCCGGTCCCGGCAAGCACGCCGGCCGGCCGGCCGGTAGTCCAGGGCGGCTCCCACGCCCCAGGCACCCCCTCCCAAACGTTTCAGCCAAGCGACACGCAGCTACTACCCTGAAGGGAACAGCAACAACCTCATTACATGGGGTTCAGCTGACGGACGAGAAGGAAGAAACCAGGATCCCTACTGCCAGTCCCACTGCTGACCCGTCGGCACTAGGTAAATCCCGTAGCCCCCTATCAGGGGGCTCTGTCTCCATCGCCTGCTTAATAGCAACAGGTGTGCTATTAAAAAGAGAGATGAGGAAAACACTGTGTTTTTACCTGCCAACTACAATGATCACAGCTGTTAATGTCATTTTAGTGAACTTACTTTTTTAGGTCAAACACAGTGACTCTGTTTCCCACGGGACTGATAACTGAATTTCCATCACATGTAAAATTTAAGTTTCCACACCGATAGACTGTCCCCAGCAAATTTGAAAACTGAAAAGAAAACAAAGCTGTCTTAACACAAAGGAAACACAACTCCGGGAAAGGGCTAAGTGAGGCCTCCGGCCAAAGAGATGGCGCAGAGACCCCCGCAGGCTCCCTGATCATTCCTGGGGTCCCGCTAGCCACCTCCCACCCCCTGGGACACTTCCTGGGCACCTGCAAGGCCAGGCCCTGAGCAAGAGAGAGGAGGAAGTGAGCCCAGTCCCCAGGGGCCCTGAGTTCCCGCTGGGGTGGGTAAGGGGCATGGTGAGCGCGGGGAAGCGTCCAGACAGAGTGTCTGCCGGGTGGAGGACAGGACAGGACCCACGTTGCAGGAAGAGAACAGCTGTGACAACGGAACAGCGTCCCAAGTGCATCCTGGGTTCAAGGCTTCCTGAACAGGGTAACCTGCTGCAGCCCATCCATTCAATCATTCATTCAACCACCAGCCGCCCTCAGGTTCCACGTCGGGCAGGCGGGCGATGGAGACAGAGCTGTGATTGCAAGGGTGCCGTGCTGCCCAGACAGCCAACCCCGCAGTCCAGGCAGGAGAGGGAGAGGAACTTCAGAGGGTGGTCAGGGAAGGACCCTCAGAGGGGCCATCTGAGCTGGAACCCAGATGACAAGGAGCACCTGCAGCTGCAGGCGGGCAGGGCCCTGGGAACCCCAAGGAGGCCACAAGGAGAGCCCGGTCAGCCAATGTTTTAAGCAGAGGTGAACCATGATCGATCCCCTTTTTCGAAGGTCACGCGACCCTGGGAGCCACAGGAGATGCAGGGAGTCGGTGAGCCTTTGGTGCCATTCCACACAGAAGGCAATGGTGTCGGAACTGGGGAGATGACCCAAGGAATGGAGAGCATGGATGAAATCGGGCCCGAGAGGAGCCGGTCAGCAGGAGGTTTGGGTCACAGTGGGGAAGCAGTCCGAGCGGGAAGACCAGGTTGAGTGGGGGCAGCGTGGGTGTGGAGTGGAGCTGCTGGAGGCCCGCGCTGTGGCCAGGGCCAGACCAAGCCTGTAAGGAGCTGGGACCCGACGGAGGGGGAAAGGCCGGAGGCGGCGGCCCTGCGGAGGAACAGCCTTCAGGGGAGTGGCAGCAGCGGACGGGGCCGCGCAAACGCCCAGAGCTCCAAACCCGCGGGTGGCCCCCACGTCGCGCGCTGCGGGCTCCGGGAACCAGGACTTCCGTCCGGGCTAGTTTCCGCTGCCCTCGCAGAGCTCAGCCGGACCCTCCCGCAGCGTTCCTGCTCCTCCCGCCCACGCCCGCCGCTCGGTCCCAGTCCAGGGCGCTGCGGTCCCTCGCTCGGCCTGTCTCAGGCTGCACGGTGAGGGACCAACCGGTGCTGCCGGACCCAGCCCGCCCAGGCCCGGCTCCCTGGCCCCGAAAGAGCAGTCTCGAGCAGCGACCCCACCGGGACCCAGGGCTAAGGACCCCGCGCCACCCCCGGCCCGCACTCACCCGGTACGCGAACTTCATTGCGACCGCCACACGTGTGTTGCTTGCAGCCTCTGCGCCCCGCCTCCCGGCCCGCAGTAAGCACTTCCGGGGCAGGAGAGCGGTCCCGCACCAACGCACCACAGCGCCCCCACGGGGCCCGGAAGAGCTGCGCCGCCGGAGGCTGGGCCCCAGCCCGCCGGCCCCGCCCCGGAGGCGTGGGTTCCTGCCCACCCGCACCGCCCACCGCAGTCCAGGCTTGGATCTTCACGGGCTTGGGCCGGGCCTTGACGAGCCATTCAGGCACCAAGGAGGGTTCTGAGAAGGTCCAACCCCACGCTTATCCGTTTGAAAGCTCTCGATTATGAAGTGGGGACCAAAACAACGAGACTGAATAAACTGAAAACCTTTTCCGAAGAAAAGAAATTGTATTAGCGATGCTACCAAACATGACAGAGGCAGTTCTACCTTGTCAAGCTTCAGGCTGGCAAATAGGTCTACAAAAAGCTCGAGAACTCTGAACACTGAAATGTCTTACTTCTAGTGAGCTATTGGGCAATAAGTTGTGAAAAAATCCCTAATGCTCCCCCAAAAGTAAATAATCTATGCTTAAGAGTCAAGAACAAGGATTATGGAAAGAAAACAAGAAAGTTCTTTAACTTTAGACACTCAATTTTCACACTCCACAGCAAAAGAATCAAGTTCACAGCAGCAAGTTTCTTCTTAAAATGTGTTATTTTCAGAATCATAATGCTTACATTTTAAACAGTCTTAATACAGTGGCTTTAGTCTAACAATATATTACAGAATAATGTGAAAAATGACTTTCATAGTAAACCATGAAAATGGAGTTAATACCTGCAGTATCAAAGTCACCAACTTGTCACCTTTTCCAGCCACAGAATCCCAGCAAACCATCAACAATGCTTTTGGGTCTTACAGCCTGACGTACAGGATGAATGCATTTAGAGAAAGGGGCATTTTCATGAAAAATCAAATTTTAAAATCACATAGGAGATTTCTTTTAAAGATCACAGTTGACAATAAAACACTTTGATCAGCCTAGTTTGTTCTTTTATAAAAAGTTGTATAAGTTTTCATTTTATGTACACACCTGGAGTGTTTCATTTCATTTTATAACTCAACTTTATTTTAAACACTAAAGAGAAATTGACTAGAAGCCTGTGTGTCTTTTCTCCACTAACCCTTTATGGGATATCCAGCCCCATCAGCTAAGACGAATATGGGAACCCGACCCACTACAGGCTGGGCTGACAATGGGACTGTAGGTAGAAGTCATTTTCAGATTAAATACAATTTCCACATTACAATCAGAAGAGTTATAATTTTTCCAATCATAGGAGACCCTATGAAATTCACCAAAATCATAACTTATTTTCTTTTTCATTTGCTACTATTTACATCTTCCACAGATATTTGTAAAATGGCTGCATATTCTGCTTCTTAGATGCACATTCAGTACCTGGCTTCACAATTGTTTAACAGCTGCTACACCTTTACCAACGAAACCAGCTTAGCTTGTCTCAAACACATAAGCCTTATTTTAAGCAAAACAAAAATCCAATTACCGCCTTTTAGTTAAAAAAAAAAAAAAAAAGACGAAGTTTTAGGTGACATTCTTCATTTCTGCTAAAAACAACAACAGAGGCACCCACGTAACTTAGATTGCAAAAGATCTTTTGGGTAATTAGGGGGTAAAAAACAAACCTGCGATAAATTTGACTTCATTCAATTTCCAGACATAAGAAACTACCATAAACATTTTGGATTTCCCCTCCATTTTTTTCTCCTCTAAATATGTAAGTAGTTAGAGAATTTCATCCTGGGATCAGACCCCAGCACAAAAGTCAACCAAAAATCAGGGAAGCGCTGACTCACATTCCCCCTCCAGAAGGTGAGAGGGAACGCTACATTACACACGAAGCAAGGGCGCCTTCCCTGGGCTCCGAGGCTCACCACGTGGATGAGAGTCTTTTCTGACAGAATCAAATATCAAAGATCTCTTCGTTCACAGGGCTTGGTGGATCTGTAGGGCAATCATCAATTTTTACAATAAAACAAACTTACGTAAGAAACCCTAAACTATCATTAGATTCTGAACTTCTAATTTGCCTGTTTATTAGTTTTAAACTGTACATAAGGAAGGCAAATTTCTGAAAAGTTTAATTAAACATACAAGCATTTATCTTCTTTGTACACTTCTCCAATTTCTACAAATGAAAACCATGGGGGGGGCGGGGATCACCACCTTCATCTGTTAAGCGAGCTGAGACCGCGCACAGAAAGCCGCTGCTCTGCTCTATGTTCACTTTGCCCTGCGCCTTCCTGCCCCACGCCTCCAGCAAGTGGCATATATGCCAGGACAGTGGCAGCTGCTGCAGAAGGCTCCTTCTTCCCTACCGCTCACACGTCTGAGGTTACTCATGAGGCCCCACCCTCTGCTGGACCGGCTACATTCGCATTAATCTGGTCAAGTTCAATTCCAACCACACTTTCCCAGTGAATTAAGAGTTCTCTATTTCTTATGTACAAAAATACATCACTTTGGAGAGCTGGAAAAGGTTTAATACATACAACACTTATTTACAAGCTGTGACTTTCACACCAATAAAAACAAACACATGTTTATTTTGTCCTTGATTTTTGGTGCAACTTAAACATTACATCAGTTAGTTTGTACTTTTAAAAATAATAAATCGACCATATGTACAATTAAATGTACAACCTAGAGCAGAGTAATCCTTTTGCATGGTATGACTGCAATGTAGTGGACAGCAGAGAATAACAGTCCAAGACTTTCATCCTTCCTACAACCAGACTAGAAATACACTGAGAAGACCCCTCTAATCGTCATTTAAATGGAACCTCTTAATTTCTGAGACTTAAGGTGCAAAAGAAAAATATTCATCATACAGTTACATGTAAAGACTAAGTTTAAAGGTGAGAGAAAAACAACGTACTAACCCCCACAGACACTATGACAATGAAAATAAATACATACTTAATTCCATGTGCATATAATACCTAATCCACATCGGGGGAGAAGGGAGAAAGGGTTCCAGAAACATTTACTTCCAAATTATTTCAACACCGAGTTCTTTCTCATGCCCTGGTCTAGTCTTAAAGTACCTTTAAAATGGCTCCAGCTGATGAATGCTCCAGGTCCGCCCAGTTTGACATCCCAAGGCACAGAAGGGGTTTTGTTCTTTCCCCACCCCACCCCCCAGCGCCATCCCCCTGCCCAGAAAGGGTGTTATTCTAGAAAAGCACAACTAGAGGATCTGAGGTAAAGGACTGTGTTTTACCCCTTAGGAGACATACAAATCCACCTGGTCCAGAAATCGGGCAGCCGTGTGACCAGAAAGGCACACACGTGTCACTAACAAGCCTGCAAGGCCTGCTGCGCGTCTACCTGAAAGAGCCTTGGGCTTCCACAGAGAACCAGCAGATGACAGGCTGCTCAGGTGAGAGCACTAGAAGCTCTTTCCTGAGCAGAGGGTGAGGGAAAAGGCGGGGCTCTGGGCAAACACGGGAGGACAGCAGCACAGGCACGGGGCGATGAGAAAATAACAAGGCATCTTACACCCCAGACAGCACACAAGTAACGATGCAACTCAGCTGACCAGCTGCTGTACACTGAAATTCTCTGATGTGTCCACGGCCAGGCAGAATCACCAAAAGTCTGGTTAGAGCGAGACAGTTACAATCGAGTCAGGATCCCTTCAAGCGTGCACGCACGCGCACGCGCGCACGGCCGGTCTGGGGACTGTGAGCCCTGGGCGTGGTCACGTGACGCTGACTTCGAGAACATGGTCGTCTTGGCTGGGGATGACCAGGACCTGCGTGCCCGCGCTGGCGTTGAAGGCCTGGCCGGGGGGCAGCGCCCGGAGCCGGGGCATGGGCAAGCCCTTGTGCTCGCTGCTGGCCACCGAGCGCGTGCTGCCCCTGCTCTGGACGCTGCCGCTGTCCAGCTGGTCGTCCACGTGCTTGTCCACCGAGAGGCTGTCGTTTTCTATCCAGCTATCTGGAAAGCGCACAGGAAGTGAGATGGAGGCCGCCCAGCGCCGCCCTCTCCCCACCCCGGGGAGCCGCCAGCCTCCCGAGTCACCCTTCAGGGCACAAGGATGTCAAAGGCGGCCTCGCCTTTGAAGAGAACGTAGCGCCTGGGTCCTGGGCGGACTGCTCTCCAGACCAGGGCTCAGGACGTGTAGCCCTGAGTAGCGTCTGGCCCTGGACACGGGCTGCCAAGCAGCAAGCCTGTCCCCATGCTGGTGTGCGGCCGCTCCGCACGGAGCTGCCCCGCCCACAGGGCGGTGCCTTCACCGCACAGTCCTTACCAGCATCCAGCTGTGACGAGTGTGCAGAGTGATGGGGCAGGTATTTAAACAGCCTGACGTCGGGGAGGGGCAGGTAACCCGCAAAGAGGGGCATCACCTCCATGTGGACTCTGTGAGTGGCCCGAGCAGCCACAGGCATGGAGATGACCCCGGAACTCTTCCCGCACACTGCCCAGTTGCTGCTGTTGTCGACAACTGAAACAAAGAGGGAAAGCACCGTTTTCACCCCAGAAAAGGACCTTCAGTGTTCACACCAAAATAAGAAACATCAACAGTCTCACACTCCACAATGAGAAGTCCAGAACCGGAGCGTATACTCTGTATCTCGATGCCTTGTAACTGCACCTCAAAGTAAAACACATCTGATTTAATAAGGAAGATACAGGTTGGGTGCACAGGGAAAAATCACTTTTTCCTCCTCAAGTTAATAAATGAGCAGTGATTCAATTCTGCATTCAAATCCCCTTGAAAGCGCCGTGTGGTGCTCCAAGAGCACGGTCGCTCCAGCTGCAGAATGGGGGCAGGGCAGGGAAGCTGGCTCCTCTGGGGGTGGGTCTGACCCCAACTCTGCCAAAGAAGCCTCTGATGGGACGGGAAGAAAAGATGCAGGTAAAGCACTTAGTTCCTCTACGCGTACCTCGGAGAGGCTTCCTATATGGCAGGTGCTATTACGAACACTAACTTAAACCACAACTGGGATGTAATTCAGTGCGATTCGAACACCTAACTGAGCAGTCATTCAGAAGTT